TTCCGGGCGCGATCTCACTGGCACATCTGAGAAGCGTAGCGCTTCCGTGGCACAACCGAGGCTTCCCGCCGGAAACACGCAGCAAAAAAACTAGTACCTTGGAGGTACTAGTTTCCGGAAACTGCGGGGCAAGGGCAGGCGTCTGATCGCGTTTCCGGTGGCATTCGGCGCCCGCCCATGTCCCCGTGCGAAAAAGGTTCCCCCCCCAAGTCTCCGTGGATGCGCACAAGCACCCAACGGAGCATGCGCATTTGTCGTGTACACAACACGCGCACTTCTTCGTTGCGCGCAGGCGTGTCCTGTGATCGGCACCTGCAAGGTTTGTTACCTTGCATATTGTTACAAACCTCAAGGCATCCTTTACTGTGAAGCAAGACTGCACTTTTATAATACTCAGACTCTTCGTCAGCTTTTGTGACTGCTAGGTACAGCTTCAGTTTCTGTTCCCTGTTGTAAAATTTGGTAAAGGTAATTAGATATTCAGATCCTGCAATGGATCTTTGTTCACTGGAGAGGACGCATATTCTTTCTATGTAAAAATCTTTATTTCTAAAGGGAAAGATACACAGGAAATCTACAAAACAACAAACACATAAGACTACATCCTTACTGTTACAAGTACAACAGTCTGACTGACCACACGGTTGGTAATGGAGATTCTTTCTTCTTGACCCTAGAAGGAAATCACCTGAATACATTAACCAATGATTGTTAATAAATAGGCTCCAGTTTCCTGGGCTTTCTCCCCATTGGCTTTGTGCCAGGTTACCTTCCAGATCAGTCTAAACAATAGCACACAAGGTAAACACATTAACCCTATAATGACTGGATTTAGACCTTGCAACACACATATTTCCAACATTCCCATCCTTTCCAGTTCTCCCATACACACATGGAAAGGATAAGTCTGATGGAGGGTATAATCTGGAATTCTGTTGTACAGTGCTAGACACCCAAAAAGAAACAGGGCCATTTCTGACACTGTGTAGTTTTCCCTTGCACTTGCAAATCAGGATTAAAGGTACTCAGGTGCCTGTTCTTTGGTTTGTACAGCAGAGATGGGTATGCACAAAACTGAAGGTTGCAGGAGTTCAAAATAACTCGACAGGACACAAGTCTGTAGAAAGCCATCTGAAGCTGTCTCGCTTCAAGCATATTTATTAAGAATTGTTCACTCATTCCCCCTCCTTTACATCAACAATTACATAGTCATTAACATGAGCTACCACATTCAGGAATTTTGTTATGCCAACTTCACACTTCCCTTATCTTCCTGGGCTCTCTGCCAAATGACTTCATCTGCTTAGGAAGTCACCAGATGCTAACTTGTGCAATCAGCACACACACATACTTGGGTTCCCAATTTCCAGCCAGGAGAACAGTGAATTATCCGGGCTTGCCACGCAGATATTTTCACTGTTCCCACACAAAACATCCACTTATTATCAGTGAGATACAGGAATAGAAGCAACTGAGTTCAGAACATGGAAACTCACGCAGTCTGTACTGTTAGCCAACAAACTGTACTAACTAAGCAGGGATTCTACCCCGTGAAACTAAATTAACACAAGTAACAGGGGAGGGGAGCATTGCCACACTGCACCTGGCTTGCTAAAGTTGTAAAGCATAACACATCACACAAAGCATCACCTACAAACCAGGCCAGGGTAGTGAACAGACCAAGGCACACAGTTCACAAAGTGCTGTGAGATGAGAACCACAGTCTATAGCCCAAGAAAGGGAATAAATGCCCTGCAGAAGTCTTGGCAAACAAACAGATGCCCTATAAAACAGGGTAAAACAGGCAGATAAACAAAAACTACCCCAGCCAAACTTAAGAAAAAGATGTGAGTCACGTGTCAATATGTAATCAGCCTTTTTAATTATTTTTGTTGTTTTAGGTATACATGTCTCATGATGACATCAAAAAGTGGAATACCAAATACTTTTGTAGAGGCAAAAAATGCTTTGTCTGGCTTCACTCTCCTAAACTGCCGAAAAAGTATACCTGGTAATGCTGGGATGAATCTACTCATTTCTACCAATGGAAGTGGGGGAGGGGAGGGGGGAGGAGAAATGTTTGCCAGTGCCCCCTTCTGCTGTAGACCTCTCCCTGAAGGGCCCCTGTCTCCTATGAGCAGCATTTCAAAAATAATTTTGGGGGGTGAGGAAGTCCCATTTCTACTAATGAAAATGTTTTCAATTCGCAGAGATCTACTGTAAAATCCAAGTCCTCCCCATATAAAATAACGCTTATGCCAGAATATCATACTGGATCAATTTCTTATTATTTTTTTTTAAAATCTCAATACCATATGTGATAACATACTGGTCTTTTCCAATGCTTACAAAATATTGCAGCCTGTCATTCTCAGATTTATCCTGATTTGAACTTTCTGGGGATGGACCTGAATGTGGAGTATGTTGATGGGCCCAAGGCGTGCCAGCAGCTTTGTACAGACACTGTCCGCTGTCAATTTTTTACCTATTCTCCAAGCCAAGCTTCATGTAACAGAGAAGGGTGAGGACTTCCCTTTTAAAATAAACTACTAAGTAGTTCTGTATGCTGGATCATGTATCTAAACTTGATTTCTTCATTTCTCTTCACGACAGTAAATGCAAATGCCACTTAAGAATGTCGACCAATGGGTCTCCACACAAAATACTCTTTGAGAATGAAAAGATTTCTGGCTACTCTTTAAGACTTTGTCAAGTGAAAGAGAGTCCTGGTGAGTAAAACTGAGCAGTCCCCAAATCTGTTTTACTGGTAGAATTTAGCCCTAGAACTTATGAAGTTAAAGAAACTTTAGGGGAGGGGCTGTGGCACACTGGCAGAGGATCTGCTTGGCATGCTGAAGGCCCCAAGTACAATTCCCGGTATCTCCAGTTAAAAACATCAGGTAGGAGGCGATGCGAAAGACCTCAGCCTGAGACCCTGGAGAGCTGCTGCAGGTCTGAATAGACAATACTGACTTTTATTTATTTATTTATATTTGCATTTATATCCCGCCCTATCCCGAAGGCTCAGGGCGGCTAACAGGGGCACAAAGGGTCTGATTCAGTATAAGACAGCTTCATGTGTGTTCATGTGTTCAAATTAAGGCATTTTGAGCATGTTCATTTTGGGTTTCCAGCAGTACTAATTACAAATGGACTGTATACAGTGTGATCAGGGATTCAACTCTCTTTCTCACCAATTAAATATTCAAATATAAGACGCTGAACTGCAGGCTGTGGAAGGTCAGTAGTTCAGCAGTTCGAGACCCGGGTGCCGCAAGACAGAGTGAGCTCCCGTCTCTAGTTCCAGCTCCTGCCAACCTAGCAGTCCGAAAGCAAGAAATTGCAAGTAGATAAATAGGTACCACTTCGGTGGAAAGGTAATAGCATTCCGTGCACCTTGGTGTTTAGTCATGCCGGCCACATGACCACGGAAACTTCTTCGGATAGCGCTGGCTCTTCGGCTTTGAAACAGAGATGAGCACCGCAACCCTAGAGTTGGACTCGACTGGCTTTCGAGCAAGGGAACCTTTACCGTTACCTTTTACCAACATAAACAGCACTTTTGTATAGGTGAACGGATTTGATACCGTCTTATTATGTTATAACAATAGATGTATGTTAATGTTTTGTTGGTGACTAACCAATTGGTTTGTAATTTCGGATTCTCAAGACTTCTGCATAATGTTTTGCAGTTATTGTATGTTTTGATACGTTATACTTGATCTTAATAAACATTTCAATTTTTTTTTAAAAAAGGACAGTTAAAGGGAAATGTGTCAGAGTCCTACCACTTCCCTGGTTTAAGCAATGAAGCCATTTTCAAAATTAACTCTGTCTACCTTTCAGTTTGGTGTGGTGGTTAAGTGCGTGGACTCTGATCTGGGAGAACCGGGTTTGATTCCCCACTCCTCCACTTACACCTGGCTGGATGACCTTGGGCAAGCCATAACTCTGGCACAGCTGTTCTTGAAAAAGAGCAGTTTCTGTCAAGAGCTCTCTCAGCCCCACCCACCTCACAGGGTGTCTGTTGTGGGGAGGGGAAGGGAAAGGAGTTTGTAAGCCGCTCTGAGACACCTTTGGGTAGTGAAGGGCGGGGGATAAATCCAATCTCCTCCTCCCTCCTCCTCCTCCTCTGAAGCCATGCATTGTTGATGTCCACCCATTCAATCTAAGCCTTGCTTATGGTGTCACAAAATCATTTCACATGTCATGCAAAGACAGACTCAACAAAGAGAGCCAGCCAATCCCAGCTGCCTGATAAAGAGAGTAATGTACCTGTATGGATCACATGTTTGCAAACTTTTATTTATCATCTTCACACTACACAGTTTAAGGAATAACAAACAGGAATAAACCATCTTATGTATATACCTTAGAAAATGTGCTGTGTTCAGTGGCTCACAAAAGATAGAGAATAGATAAGGGGGGGTAGGAGGTGACTTATTTTGTACATAAATTGAAACAAACAAACAAAAAACCAACACACAAACCCACTTTCCACTTGGAAGGAATAATCTAAACACAAATTCCCTTTAGATCTAAAGGGCTTTCCCCCACTGAGTTCTTGTACACATCAGTTTTCCCCCTCCATCACACACAGTATAGTTTGCCGGTCATTGGTCTCCCATTTTTTCTCTGAGTTTTTTCTGTGTTTTTGCAGATCACTGTGAAGCTGGCCTGAGAAAACACAGGAAAAGCTTAAGGAAAACCCTGGAGAGCAGGGACCAACAAATAATATTGTGTTTAAGGGAGGGGGAGAAACCAATATAGTTAAGAAGCTGGGCTGCAGCAAAAACTTGGTGTGGAACATCCCTAATTTCACAATCCAGTTAAAGATGAGTACGTTTCAGTTTATTTCAGTTGGACGAGTCGTTTATGCTTGATGGTGCAATTCAATGCAGAGTGACTCCAGTCTAAACCCACTGATTTCTCTGATTAAAATAGGATTCCACTATGAATTTCTTCCATTTAATTTAACCAGACTTAAAATATATATATATATATATGAATGGATCATGCCCATTATGTTGCATGTTAATTGTGTTCTTCTGGTGCATGCCTGTTATGTTGCATGTTGACTGTGTTCTTCTGACTCAGTACAAATAGATTCTTTAGCATAGATTCAGGTGGGTAGCCGTGTTGGTTTGAAGCAGCAAAACAAAATTTGAGTGCAGTGGCACCTTTAAGACCAACAAAGTTTTATTCATAGTATAAGCATTTGTGTGCATGCAAACGTCTTCAGGTACATCGAAATGGAAGTTACCAGTCCATACATATAGGCAGAGGGTGAGCTGCAAATTAGCATACAACATAATGAAGATGTTTAACCAAGGACCAAACAGGAATAACAAGCTTAGTTAATATGGATTCAGGTTGGTAGCTGTGTTGGTTTGAAGCAGCAGAACAAAGTTTGAGACCAATGGCACCTACCAACAAAGTTTTTATTCAAAGTCTAAGCTTTTGTGTGCACATACACTTATTCAGATACAATGAAATGGAAGTTATCGGTCCAGTTTTGCAACTGCTATGTATAAGGTAAAGGTTTCCCTTATTTGAAAGCCAGTCGAATCCAACTCTAGGGGGCAGTGCTCATCCCCGTTTCCAAGCCAAAGACTTTTTTCGTGGTCATGTGGCTGGCATGACTAAATGCCAAGGTGCACGGAACACTGTTACCTTCCCACCAGAGCGGTACCTATTTATTTACTTGCAATTTCTTGCTTACGAACTGCAAGGTTGGCAGGAGCTGGGGCCAGAGATGGGAGCTCGCTCCATCACTTGGCACTAGGGTCTCAAACTGCCAAGCTACCGACCTTCTGGTCTGCAGCTCAGCGTCTTAACCTCTGAGCCACCACGGCCCACTCTGCTATGTATAGGGCATGATAATAATTTTAGTGTAACTGAAAGCAAATGTATCACTTAATACCCAAAGTTGACTGACAGTGGTGGATTCAGATTGTTGGCATCAGAATGCCTTAGGTTTGAATCCCTCCCACCAACCCTAACCCTCCCCTATCCAGTACCTGTGTAGTATAGGAGAGACATCCTAATCAGAGATGTCAGTTATCCCTACATTTGGAGCACATCTCTCTCCTCTGTGAGAGAATGATGAAGAACTCCCCTTTCAAACACACCATAGATCGCTCACACATCTTTCTTATTTGCTCATTTGTTAGAACACACACAGTGTTTGAAACTACCCCTGTGTATTTAACCACATTTCTCCAAGTGGCTTGAGAGGCTTGTACTTTCGTGACACCTAGTGGATGTAAAATGAATTTGCGTAATGAGAAGTTCAACATGATCCAGATTCATTGGCATTCATGTATTGTCTGTTTAGTTATGCATTTCTGTCCCACATTTCTCCCCACTGGGGACTCAAAGCAGTTTACAAAGAAATAAAAATATATATAATTTAGACAGATGAACGCTAAAACCATACAATCCAACTCTTGAATTGATTCTGTATCCACTGGGCTGGTTCACCATGGCTTGTTCACAGACTATAAGCAAGGGGGATAAGAGCCAAGAGCTCACTGGACCCATGCCCTTCATCTCACACCAAAAAGCTCATGAGTCTGGCTATGCCCAGGCTTCAATACGTGCAACAGTAAAAGAAACAGCTCAGATCTCCAACAGCTGGCAGACATATTCCCATGATGCAGTGAGAATGTTAGATAATTGGGTGGTAATGGGCAATTCACTGCCCATTTTCTTAAGGTTTGTGGTAAGCTGTACTCATTAAAGAGAAGTTTTAAAATGTGTAACATTCAAGTCACATGCTTTTAATTAACCTGTGCAGTAAGTTGTCCACTGCTGGACCTCCTGATGGCACCTGGTATTTGGAGAGCCAGTTTGGTGTAGTGGTTAAGTGTGCGGACTCTGATCTGGGAGAACCGGGTTTGATTCCCCACTCCTCCACTTGCACCTGGCTGGATGACCTTGGGCAAACCATAGTTCTGATAAGAGCTGTTCTTGAAAAAGAGCAGTTTCTGTCAGAGCTCTCTCAGCCCCACCCACCTCACAGGGTGTCTGTTGTGGGGAGGGGAAAGGAAAGGAGTTTGTAAGCCACTCTGAGACACCTTTGGGTAGTGAAGGGAAGGGTATAAATCCAATCTCCCCCTCCTCCTCCTCCTCCTCCTCCTCCTCCTCCTCCTTCTCCAATGGACTAGATGGGGCATTGGCCTGATCCAACACTGGCTTCTCTTATGTTCTTATGTTCCTATGTAATAAGTTCTGAAGAAACACTTGTTTGCATTAAAAACACTCAATCAAACTTGGCAGTATACATTTAAGAATTCTCTTAGTATGTGTGCAGAAACCTTTACTGGACTCGAGGGTTGTTGGAGGAACAAATTCTACTCTTGGAGAATGGCCCTGGCAAGTCAGCTTGCATGTGAAGCTGTCAGTCCAGAAGCACCATTGTGGCGGTTCGATTATCGGTGACCGGTGGATACTGACTGCTGCTCACTGCACAGAAGAGTGAGTAAAACTTCTGACTGCTAAATAAGAAAAACTAATCTGAATATCTTCTAAGAAATAAAACCGGAACCTTCAAAACAGTGGGTTGTATCCTACCACTCCACTCAGCTCATCTGATGGAAGGGCTCGTCTGACTTAAGGTTTATTACACAGCAGGACTTTGCCACCTCTGGCTGCACAGATCAATAGGGTACAACCCAGTAAACATTAACAGAAGTTGCCTGGTTTTGAAGGGCACTGCTGAACATGACTTTCAGTTTGGTGTAGTGGTTAAGAGCGGTGGACTCTAATTTGGAGAACTGGGTTTGATTCCCCACCCCTCCACATGAAGCCAGTTGGGTGACCTTGGGTTAGTCATGGTTCTCTCAGAGCTCTCTCAGCCCCACCTACCTCAACGGGGTGTCTGTTGTGTGGAGAGGAAGGGAAGGTGATTGTAAGCTATTCTGAGACTCCTTCAGTTAGTGAAAAGTGGGGTATAAAACCCAGCTCTTCTTCTTCCTTTGACTGCTGAATGAACACTTCAGGGCTGACTAGAAGTGTGGGAAGCGGCTCTTTGAAAAGAAGAAACACCGAGGCAATGTGCAGTGTGGTGTTCAGTGCATCCCTCCTTCAAGTGGGGTTGCGTCAGATGTCTATACCCAAGGCATAGATTAAAGACACATGATGTGCATGTATTGTTAAAGTGGGTTTCACTCTGAGCATTGGATGAGATAATAGAAACAGCAGGGATAGGTGTAGTAAAATAAAATAATTCTCCCTTGCTTCAGTTCCTTCTTTATCTTTTGGGCATCCATGTTTAATATGTAGAGCGGGAACAGAATGGAGGTTGGGGTTTGTTTGGTTTTTTTTTTTTTAAAAGAAATACAGTATAGTGCACAATTTTTAGTTGTAGATTTTTTTGTTGTTTCTTAGCCTTCTGATACCTGATGTTTGGCGGGTCTATACTGGAATTCTGAAACAGTCAGAGATAAATGAAGATACCCCCTTCTTTAAGGTGCAAGAGATTATTGTTCACCCTGAGTATGAGGTTTCAGAGGAAGGATATGACATCGCTTTAATGAAACTTGACAGACCCATGAATTTCAGTGGTATGTCCTTATTTTATGTGGATTTCAGTGGTATGTCTTTGTTATAAATTTATTTTCACATCTTTACCTTATGAAATTGCCATCTATAAATAAAGCTGACTTTACTAACATTAGCCAGTTATTATTCCATCCAAGAAGGAAGCGGAATTGAGGTTCCAGATGGAATTTAATGCATTTTTTAAAAATGAAAGCTCTTTTCCCTCTTAACCAACCTCATTCTTTTAAATGGAATTTTAGATTTACAGCAGCCTCTCTGCCTGCCAACCAATGAAGACACAAAGGAGAACACAGGATATACCAATTGCTGGGTGACTGGATGGGGTTATACAACCGAGAGAGGTATTATACAACCACACCTAGATGTATATAATATTTGTCTTTTCAAATGAGTGGTGTTAAATGTTATAGTTTTCTTTATTATGAACATTTTTCATACCATGCTCCCTTGCAACTTGCTAACAAAAAGCGGGTGAGGCTAAATGCATATTTTTAGTGTACAGTAGCCAGGCTCAGCCTGGAAACCAGTAGGAGACCATGGGGGAGGGGGGGACAAGATGTCAGAGGTGATGGGGCAATGTCACGTCCAGGAAAAAGCTGGAAGTGATGTAATACCTCCATAGGAAATGCAGTAACTGATGGGATACCCTCTGTGGAGTTAGGTACTGTGCATAGGATTTAGAGATATGAGCATTGTTAATAGAATGGCTGAGATTGTGTTCTCTGTGTAGATTTGTATTTGAGTGGTTTATGCTGAATCTGGAGAAGATGACAATAACGTTCAACCCCTAGAAAGTAGGATCTGGGGTTTGCAGGATTCACATGGACTAACAGCCAGAGGACACAGGGCAGAGTCACTGGTTTCTTGTTATGTGATTTACACATTATTTACCATTTATATGCAATTATTGCAAGACACATGTTGACAGGGCTATTTTTGGGCAGGAACGCACAGGAACGGAGTTCTGGCTGGCTTCAGAGTTGGCCATGCCCACTACAGCCAAAACCTCTGCGTGTGTAGCTACAGAGGGAAGGCCTGGAGAGCGACCACCCCGGCGACTCCAAGGCAGGCAGGCCGAGGGGGCCTGGAAGGATCAGGAAGACATTTAAATCCTTCCCCATGCCTTCCCTGGCCTGTCCAAATGCCGGCTTCCCCAGGCTCCCCACAGCCACGGGGCACCCGGGCAAGCCAAGGGAAGGCATGGGGTGTGGCCTAATATGCTAATGAGCTGTGCTGTCAGGGGTGTGGCCTAATATGCTAATGAGTTTCTGTTGGGTGTGGCCTATTATGCTAATAAGTTCCTGCTGGGCTTTTTCTACAAAAAAAGCCCTGGATGTTGAAAATGTGTGAATTCTAATGGGAAAAGTTTAACATGAGGAGACAGAAAACAGCACAAAAAGTCTCACAGATTTGATTCACAAAAGGGAGAACTGAAATGGCTAAAACCAGCAGATAGCATGCTTTGTCCCAGCCCATAGTTTGGGAATTACTAAATTAAAGTACTGCTATTTCCCCTAATGTGATGTCATTTATGTCATATACTATTTAAGGTCAAATACAAGATGTTCTACAAAAGGTCAATATCCCTCTAATAGCAAATGCAGAATGTCAGTTGCGATACCGAGACTTCAGAATACACAACAAGATGGTGTGTGCTGGCTACAGTGAAGGTGGAAAGGATGCTTGCAAGGTAAGAGCAGCTTTTGTTGTTACTTCTACAGAATAGCCTCACTACAATTTATTACAGTTTAGCTGCGGAGAATGTACTAGAAACCCATAGTCTCTCTTCACTCTCCTCCTGATTACAGTTCCCATGCTTCCTTGGGGAGTTGTATTATTATTTTTTTAAAAAAAATAAATCTCTGCATACCAGTGCTAGGAGGCAACATTAGGGGAAGATTTTGGTCTCTATGCCATTTGTTGGTCCTCCAGGGCAACTGGCTAGTCACTGTGTGAAACAGGATGCTGGACTAGGTGGACCACTGGCCAGGTACAGCTAGAGATGTGAAGGCCCAGGGAAAAAATGGGGGGGGGAATGGAGAAAAAAGTCCCCTTCCCTCCAATTTTTCCATCAGAAAAATTGGAAATTTGAGGGAGCACTGGGGAAAAAACCCTCCTAATAATTAATTATCTCTTAGAATGAGTGAAATGCTTTTCACGGTAAGGGGAGCACGCTATAGACATATATAGCTCTTAAACAAAAGATGCATTTCTGCACCTAGTGTAGGATACCTATTCTTCATGAGGTCAGCATGCAGGGCTTTCATTGCTTTACAATTGTCGCTTGCCTTCTGTTGTCCTTTTGACCTGACCTGTGGTTGCCCTTTTCTGGCTGCTGCCACACACGCTAAGTAATCCACTTTCAATCCACTTTCAGTGCACTTTCAAAGTGGATTTTGCCAGTTCACACAGTAAAACTCCACTTTGAAAGTGCACTGAAAGTGGATTGAAAGTGGATTACTTAGCGTGTGTGGCAGCAGCCTCTCTCTCTCAAACCACAGAGACACATATCCCCAAAGACTGGGTAACAAGTAGCTTATCGCCCTACTTTGCTGGAGGGAACAAATGATCCGGAGGTGGGGCAGAATGCATTAAAGCCTCAGAGGAAAACTCTGAAAGTTTCATTGAGAAATGAGCTCTGCCTAACCAGTAGCCACAGAAGGAAGAAGGCAGCATATAGCTGGAACTATACATAGCTGTGTAGATATTACTGGCCCTTTGTGTGAACCTTTTTCTGAGCAAATAATATATTTCATGTCATTTATCACAAAGCTTGTGTTTTCCATTTAACTCCTATTTTCCAGACAGCAAAATTAAGATACATGTGCTAAAGTAGCATAGGGTGCATCAGCATGACCTTTTCTCTCAAGTATTTGGTATATTTGCAATTTTCTATGTAGAACATAAAGGCATTTATAAATTTTAAATTCCATAAATATGTCAAATATTGCAATTTATGTGCTAAGTTAGTTATAAATAATGCACCTTATGTTGTTAGAGCAGTAAAATAAGGTTAGGTTTGATAAGACACTAAGTATTGCACATATTTCAGATTTATTTCCATGGCAAGCCATAGTGTGCCATGACATCTGATTTGTACTTGCCCTCCAGACCAGATTTGGAAACCAAAATATTAGTGCAGTTTCTAATTCTAATTTCTTTGGACTAATTTTGGAGGACAAGCGCAAATCATAATTTGCTGTTTAGGGTGCAAGAACAGTGTGCCACAAAACAGGAAGTCAAAGATCAAGTCTTGTTTTGTGGCGCACTGTTCTTGCACCCTAAACAGCAAATCCTCAAAAAACAGGAAGTCAAAGATCAAGTCTTTCCCCCACACTGTCTCTCTGGCACGATAAGCTATGGGAACAGTTTGTCATGGCTAAAATTAATGACCTAAGTCGAGAGACCCATACACCATACACCACAGCACATACGAAATTTAGAAGGCTCTGGTCACCGGTGGTGAAATATATGTCAAAATACGAAATTCTCCCCACAAACATGAATGATCACAGGTGGTTGTTCTTATAACGCATCGCTCACTCTAATAATCTGGACAGTTGAATAAGTCTACATCTATTGAATGGTCAGTAACACTAATCAATGGTGCAAACGTTCAGAGGAGACATTAAATAAAATGTTGAGTAAAGTATAGTAAATAAGATCATTTAGATTTTAACCAGGGTTCTTTAAAGTTCATAGTTTAACCACTATACATTCATTTACTGTATACCCCTTGGATGCTTTTGAGTTTGTGTTGTTTCTTTCTCTGCATTTGAATGTACTTCTAAGTAAAAGAATAAAAATATAATTAAAAAAAAGATCAAGTCTTGAGTGTTGCATGTGAACCAAGTCTCAGTAGCAATGGGGCTGCTTTTGCTGTTGTTGATGTGTATATCACATACCTAGGCATGCTGATGCTACATGCATATTTTCTTTCTCTGCTATAGGGAGATTCAGGTGGACCTCTGCAATGTAAACACAAGAAAGCCTGGTATCTAGTTGGTATCACCAGCTGGGGTGAAGGATGTGCCCGTCCAGAACACCCAGGAGTTTACACCAATGTGGCTGAATTTGTAGAGTGGATTCTAGAAAAAACTTCATAGAAGAAGGGATATTCAGTGATTTAACAGTACCATGATGTCATACAAACTTCTGATTCTGAAATTCTCTGAGAAAGAAGTTAGAAGGTTTGTAAAACTGTTCCCGCTTGACAGTTTAGCTGCAAAAGGAAACTATCACACAGTTGCCAGTCACACATTCTCCAGAGGGACTTATTTCCAAACAACTACCTAAGTGATTGCAGAGTTAGGCCAACTAAACTTATTGAAGTCAAAGGTGGGTTTAACTGCACAGGACATTGTAAGTCTAAAATGAAGAGCGGAAAAGTGTTACACTTTGGAATAAAGAACTGATTACATTACAAATGAAAATAGAACGCGTACATTCATCAATGTTTTCGTTTAATGTATTCCACAGGTGTGTCCCACTGACAGAATGGCACTACAACTATCTCACAGCACATTTTTGCAAATGTCTTATGTCCTTCTTTGCAGGAGGAGGTGTTACAATCCTTCTGGTTTCTGTTCACTTACTTCCTATGATGCCGTAGAAGGTTAAGCAGATGAGAACGAAAAGAAACTTAGGAGACATTATCATTCCAACAGTGCCTTCCTCAGCAGAGTCGCCCCTTTCTCATCCCATTGATTTCAATGGGTGTAAACTTGGCTTAAGATAGCACTGCAAGCCTTACAATATTTAAATGAGTTACTTTTCTTTCTGTGTAGTTCCATGATTGTCCTGACCTGGATGCCTGTGAAGGTTGGAGTCTCAAAAATGCTGCTTAAACAGAGTCCATAGGACTTAAGAGAAGCTCATTAACAGAAGGAAATTTGCTGTATGAAACACCCATTCCTGTATTGCTTTATTCAAAATCGGGCCAACAACGAATCACATCCGGTTTAGAACAGTAATGTGAAAAGGGCCATAGTGTGGGATCTCCAGGTGTCTGCGGATGTACTCCTGTGCATTATAGATCATCCCAAGGCTTCCTCTGGTGTGCACAGTCAGTTCATGCATCTTAGCTGACTGGGCCTGCTTGATTTCATCATTCTCCTGCATGATCTGATAGTATACCTAGGGACACATCCAACACCTGTTTCTATATTGATGATATTTTAAGGAGGGTTACTTGTCATTGCTGGTCTCACTGAGAATCTGCCAAGGAATTCAAGGGTCCCTAGAAATGTTAACATCATGTATGTGCTAAGAAACTATCTGAGCAAAGAACCCAGCCGAGTTTAATTTTAAGGGCTGATTTAGTGATCAGTTCTTGAGACTTGGTGTATGTATTTTTCCCAGCACTAGATGGTAGTAGACAGCCATGCTGAATAAATTCTTTCCAGAGCAAAATACCACAAAATGATGTATCCTGCTAACAGACACTGAACAAAATCATTTTGAATGAAAGACCATTTCTGGTACTTACTTTATTGAAGGATATGGTGGCTGCTGATCCACTGCTTATAGCACTAGGTATTTTCCTTTGGACAAAGAGGCTTGTTGCATCATCCAGATCAGGGGTCATTTCGTAGAAAAAGAGCTAGGGGAACTCATTAGCATAACTCATTAGCATATGCCACACCTCCTGACATCAGGGGCCCGGCGGTGGACCTGCAAGGCCGGCAGGAGTGCGAGGAAGCCCTGCCAAGGCCCTCCCTGGCCCCAGGCAGGCAGGTGTGGGGAGAGCCGGGGAGGAAGCAACTTGCCCTCCCTCTTCTCCTGCCTCCTCATGGCTGAATGAGGGCCGGAAGCAGGGCGGCCAGAAGCAGGGGGCGGGGCTTCATCGTGTGCCCCGCCCCCTCACACCTCACCCGGGGGAACTGCGAACCCCCGCGTTCCCCCCCGAAATGACCTCTGATCCAGATGTTTGCTGAACCCAATGGGAAATACTAAAATACAAGGTACCAATGTTCCCTCTAAGCTGTGGAGTCCTGTGAGCAGAAATTCTACTTTGTGAGCTACTGGCATTAAAGTTGTGAGCAGGTAGTTTGGCTGCTGCATAAAATTAGTTTGCTCTGGAGCCATCTTTCCTGAGCTAAGACAAAAATGTGTGAGCTGGAGGCTAAAAAACTGTGAGCTAGCTCACACTAACTCAGCTTAGAGGGAACACTGCAAGGTACACGGATAAAGTAAGCTGTTTTTCCTATTAACTTTCTATACTCAAATAAACAAAACCATCCATGATTTCCTGATGGAACAGGGGGAAAATTGTGACTCCTGAAATGGAAAATGGTACATTTTGAGGTTTTCTCTTTGGCCATATGGGAGAGCAGGCGCCAAAGGTTAATTCCTCATCCAGTCAGAAAGGAACAGAAAACTCGTCCATTCCAGAAAAAAGTATCCTCTCCTCCCCAGATTTCAGGACATGCTACCAACTCCAAGAGAAAAAGTCGCTAAATGAAAACTCTGAAAAACAAACAAGAAAAAAACAACCTTGACATGGACCAACAGGAGACAGAAAAACAGCTACATTAGAAGTGCAATCCTAGGAGGTCTATTCAGGATCTTAGTCAAATCAATTCAATGGGGCTTACTCCCATGACAGTATTTTTTCTGGCTTAGGTTCCCTCTCACTCCTGGCCAGGGTTCATTTCCTTCAAAAGCGCACAGGAGCGGAGCTCCGGCAGTAAAGAGCCCAGGGGGCGGGCACATGCAACAAGCCCCGCCCCCTGCTCCCAGCAGCCCTGGGCCACGAGGAGCAAGAAGCAGCCAGGTAAGTTGCAGTGGGTGTTGCCTTCTGACACACTTCCAGTGATGTAAGGGGGTGTGGCATATGCAAATAAGTTATGCTAATGAGTTATGCTAATGAGCTCCTGCACCTCTTTTTCTACAAAATGACCCCTGCTCCTGGCTGCTTCTGACTGGACATGGTTGCTGATGCTGACTTTAAGCTTCCAGGAGGATTAGGCTTTACTTTGCTCCACAGTGACTTGCCCCTCTTGAGGTTTGTCTTTTGGGGGGAGAGTCTCCAATCTGTGAGATAAAGGGTTAGCAGCTACCGGGCTAAGGCCGGAGGACAGTTTCTTTAGTGACTTAGCCAAAGGTCTAATGTCACAATAAATATATTAGTCTTCAGTGAGCCACCAGACTAGAACAGCAAGCACGAGAATGTACATGCAAAAGCTGCAGAGGTCAATTCGGGAGGGGGGGATCGCAGTTCCCCCGGGTGAGGTGCAGGGGGCGGGGCACACAATGAAGCCCCACCCCCTGCTTCCGGCCGCCCCACTTCCGGCCCTCATTCAGTCAGGAGGAGGCAGGAGAAGAGGGAGGGTAAATTGCTTCCTCCCTGCCTCTCCCCACCCCTGCCTGCCTGGGGCCAGGGAGGACCTTGGCGGGGTTTCCTTGCACTCCCGCCGGCCTCGCAGGTCCACCGCCGGGCCTTATGTTGTCAGGGGGTGTGGCATATGCTAATGAGTTATGCTAATGAGTTCATCTACCTCTTTTTCTATGAAACGACCCCTGAAAGCTGTAAGAAGAAGGGAAGAGCAGAGACAGTAAACCTCTGACTACCAGTGCTAGGAAGCAAAATCAGAGGAAGCCTTGGTTTCTTGCTCCATTGGTTGGCCCTCTTGGGCAATGGGTAGACCACTGTGTGAAACAGGATGCTACCCTAGATGGGCCACTGGTCTGATCCAGCAGTCTTTCTTTGAAAGATCACCAGATGTACAAATGCCAATCTGAAATGTATTCCAGTGACACAGATCACCAACACTCTAAGAGGAAAGCAATCTCTCAATCTCAAATAGTTTAAAACTACCTTACGTGTAGCTGGCTCTTTTCCTTCATATGTTCTTTGTAGTATCCCTTTATTTTTCTGCTAACTTCCCCCCCCCTTATGTAAAAATGAACTATAAGAAATCTTTCCCAATTGCATTTATTCCTTTCTGAGGACAACTACCAGGAGTGCTACTGAATTATAGAATTGTTAAACAGACTGCAAACACAGCCTTTTGATCTGCTACATCTGGCCAAGAAATATACCTGTACCTAGGTTGTTTCAAGGGCCATGGTGGCTCAGAGGTTAAGATTCTGAACTGCAGACTGGAAGGTCGGTAGCTTGGCAGTGCCACGTGACCGAGTGAACTCCCATCTCTGGCCCCAGCTCCTGCCAACCTAGCAGCTTGAAAGCAAGAAACTGCAAGTAAATAAATAGGTACCACTTTGGTTAGGAAGGTAACAGCATTCTGTATGCCTTGGCATTTAGTTTTGCTGGCCACATGGCCATGGATGAGTCCTTGGACAGCGCTGGCTCTTCAGCTTGGAAATGGAGATGAGCACCGCCCCCTAGAGTTGGATTCAACTGGCTTTTGAGCAAGGGAAACCTTTACTTTTACTAGTTTGTTTCAGTTCTTAGAAAAATAATAATGTTCTGTAGTGATAAAGGACTATTTGGTTGCATGCCTAACTTTCTGTTAGTAGACCTAGGCTGCTTCCATAATACCAGGGTAATTTTCTGTGTGGGTCAGATGGTTGATGGGATCATGGGTGAAATTGCCTTTGCAATGGAAATCCTAGACAGCAGAGGGTAATCAGTTTTTTTCTCCATTGTTACCTGTGGTTTCCCTTTCACACCTGATGCACACTGAAGTGTCCCCCCCCCCGCTGTGTGCTCACATGACCCTCAGGATTCTTCACCTCCCCCCCCTATTTTATTTATTTAGAAGCATGTGTAATACTATGGGAGTAATGTAATACTTCTTTAAAACTTTTTAAAAACTCTTCACATATTTGCAAAAGCCCCCTGGATATTTTCCCTCCTCTCTATCTAAAAGGCAGTCTGAAATGTGTGTGATTATGTTCTATAATTCCTGCAGCTGCTAGAAGAGAAAGGCCCTTGTGGTCATCAACAATGAAAAGAGTAATTGACCAACACTTCAACAAAGCTGTCCCATTGTGCTGTTTCCCTTTCAGACCCAAGAAACTGCCTGTGCTGATAGTGTTCTCCCTGTTTTTTAACAGGCTTATAATAAAGCAGATTTTTTTTCCCCTTGTGGAAGGAACAAGAATAGAAGATGCCATGTAGAAACATGAAAAAATCTGCAAA